CTATTCTATACTTTGGTTTGTAAATTTCATTCATAATTATTGTTATTACAAAATATGGTTGTATCGTGACGTCATTTTTACTAGATTACAGGCGTTTCTCTCTTAAGTGTTTCTATTTATACGTGAAACTTGTAGATTCTCGTAATGCAAGCTATATTACAAAAATACTCCATGAGATTCTTTCCTTGCGCCGTATACTTGACATTTATTTGACGTTGATATACCGTTCTATTAGCATCGACTTGCCGTTGGCTCGCGTTTAATTTTACACCATTGTCTCATTGTTAATAGTAATTTCTGAAACGTGTCAACTTCGTAATGTCTGTATTGGGCAACGTTTCCGATAATTGTTCCATTTAGAAATTTTAATGCAGAATTAAATTTTAACGTAGAAAACCACTTAACGTATGCTGCGTTATACATATATTTAGGTGTAGAAGAAAGTAGAACGCCGAAAAAAGAGGTCATCTTTTATTTCAGTATGCTAAGATACAAATGTATAAGTAATATTAAATGTTTAAATATCCAAGAACGATGAAAATGATTATCACGCTTAACAGAAAATTCTGGTCTAGAGCGTAAAAAGTTGAAATTCGTGTTTTTCTACTTTCCTTGTACGTTTTAGATATCTAAAAAATTGTCTATGAAAGAATTTTTGAAATTCGACAAAGTAATAAAATTATGGGTTCAAATTTGTTTTTATTAAAAATGCTCATGACTAAATTATTTCCACTTTCTTTATATAGTATGTGTACGCAAAATTTTTTGGTGGAATTCGAAGTATTTAACGAAGTTGTATAGACGTTTTAAGTAGGTTATGTGCGGTGAAAAATTGCCTGCATTAGCAGCACGTGATAATGCAGTCCCTTTAACTATTTCTTAGCCTTAATTATCCTATTATACTTGCCCTGCGATGCAAGCAGCATTTTATCCACTTGACCCAAAACAGTAATAAACTCTAAATGCTTTAATTTCAATTTTTTTGTTTTAAGTATCTTCATTGTTGGGAAAGAAATTTATAGAATGTGTTGGTAACCTTGCGATTTATATATTGAATTCAGCGAAAATTTATAAGAATAAGCTAGCTAGATATTTAATTATTGCTTCGCACAACATTTATCGAGCGTGCTAGATTTTTTGTCTTTGAGCGTAGTTCGGATTCAATGAGGCTCTAACTAGATGAACTTAGCAGCAATTATCGTATACGACATTGTAGTGGGTCTAAAAAATTTAACATACATTCAACATTTTCTTTTATCTTCTAATAGTGTTTAATAATTGAAGAAGTTGTGTTTTTACAAGTATAAATCTAACAAATTTAACTCTCGCTCAGTGTTCATTTATAACACAAAGATCAAGAATTTTCCTCGGTTTTTTAATAATATTTAATAATTAAAAAATTTCATTTTTGCAGGAATCAGCGTAAAAGTAAAAGGTGTTGCGAACACATGTTGGACCACGGACAAACAGGACATGGACGAGAGAGGACAATACAGAGATGGAACTCAGACGGTCACCGCCCACGAGGAATACTTCGAGACAAAATATTATCTGGTTGGATCGGCTTCTGGTAAAATTCTGTCTTAAATTACGCTGTTCGTCGATAATTTCCATTGTAATAATAATCAATTTATTGCTTAGGAGGTGAAATAGAGATACAAAGCGGAGAGCACAAATTCCCTTTTCAATGCGTTCTACCGACTAATTTGCCTAGTAGCTTCGAATCCGATTTCGGACACGTTCGGTACACCGTTAAAGCAACACTGGATCGTCCTTGGAAGTTCGATCAAGAAGTGAAGAGTCCCTTTACAGTGGTGTCGCCTCTTGACCTTAATCAAGAACCGAGGGCTTCGGTACGATTTATCAGCAAATTTGTAATTTGATAAAATTTAGCAAACGTTCTGAGATTGAAAGTAAAACTTGTAATATTACTTGGGGAAAGTAGCTATTTTTCTAGAAACTACAAAGGTACCGTGTACCTATTATTGTTAAGTTGCAAAAAAATAGAAAGAACTAAAATTTAATAATAATATTTCTTCATTAAAGAAAGGTTCACAAATTCGTTAAAAATTAAATTCAAAGTGAGGCTTACAATAATCAGCACCTTATTGAAGATTGAAAAAAATTCAATCAGCTAATTTAAACAGTTAGGGTGAAATTTATCGAAAAAATGATGTGTAAAAAGTTGCAGTTTCGTTCTTGGAACTTTTTGTAAAAATTTATGTGGTTTTCAGGAAAAAGTACAAGAGGAAATGAGCAAGACATTTTGTTGCTTGTGCTGTGGAACTCCACCGTTAACTGTTACTTATTCATTACCAGTTAGAGGATATGTACCAGGTCAATCAATGCCGATAAGAGTGATCGTTGAAAATTTATCAGGCGTTACGGTGGATACTGTGAAACTGATTCTGTGTAAGGTATACTCAGTTCGGTGATACTACTGTACAAGGTGTCTCAGCAATTCCGTCATTGTAAATGATCTTCGCTATTTCAAATAATAAGGAGAACTGTTCTTTTGTAAAATTGTATGCTTTCAAAGGGAACATAATATAGTAGCAATAGTTCGTACAATACATACATATATCCTTATTATTATTATAGTCTAGAATTGGTGGGACACTCTGTGTAATAATGTACGCTATAATTCTTCGAAGATAACAATAAATCGTGAAGTCTAGATCGTGACTTTACGTGCTACCACGCCGACCACTGATACCAAAACGGAAGAGATTGTGGTAGCGGAAGTAGGCAAAGGACCTGTCGAGGGAGGAGGAACTGCCGATTATGAACAGAAGTTAGATATCCCTCCGTTACCTCCGTCCAATTTGACCAATTGTGGTATCATCGATGTGGAATATAATCTTAAAGTTGTGGCCTGTGTTTCTGGATGGTTAGTTTATTTATTTTATGAATCGATGCAAAGTGTTGTGTTCATAGGATTTGTTCAGCGACATATTCTATGCATATGTATACGTACAAATTACAATTTTCAATTAAAAAAAAAATATCTATTGTAATTATGATACAAAATCTTTAACTTTGAAATGACACATTTGTGAATGAACTTCTGAACATAATATTAGTTATATCAGATACATATGGTGCTTTGACCCTCCTCGATCGTTATAAATAAATTAGTTAGTGTGCAATGCTATGATTCATCGAGTGATTCTTAAACAAAGTCTACGAAGAATGCTAATTCATCTATTCATCTTAAAAATGATTTTTGTTTTAGGTATTATCGAAATTTGTCGAGGAATATTTCTGTGTTCGTGGGTACTGTGCCATTGGTGAATTATCAAACACCTAGTGCTCCACCTGCCGAAGGATATCCAGCAAAACCATCAGAAATTGGATGGACAACTACAGGAATTCCAGTTTCGAGTCCTGACGGAGCTCCGCCGTCGAATTTGTATCCCAATTTACGTAAGAGTATTTTTATGTAATTTTTTATAATTATATGATACCATTTTCAGTCGCTGTTAATATTTTTATATAATTTTTGTAATCGTATAATATCGTTTCCAATAATATTTATAACGATATCAATACAATATATGATAATATCAATTTCTGATAATATTAATCCCAATTTCATGAAATTGTTTTCAACAAAATAATTTTTGCATGTAAAATTGTTACATTTAAAAACTGAGATAATTTAATATACTTTTAAATATTTCAAAAATGAGTAAATTCAGTACAACGTTGAATATCATTTTTCTAGCTCCGCCTTCATACGAGGAATCAACCAATGGTGCTAGAAGTCTATGGGAACGCGGCGAATCCGAGCACGTTTTCGGAATATCGAATCGTTTTGCACCCAAATATCCGGTATTTAATTTCATACCAGCTCAATGAACAACGAAATGAAACAGTTTGATGTTTCACAAAAAAAAAAAAAAAAGAAAAAAACGAAAAAAAAATAGGAAATGAAATTCATTCATGAGTCTTACAGCTTAGCATGCAGAACACATTTTAGTGGCTTTAATCGAAGATAGATGCTCAAAATGATCGTGAGTGTTCTTCAACAGTCTGAATTTTTATGGTTCAAGCGTGTCTTCGTTTTTGTTTTAAGTATACTAGAGAAATGCGAAAAAAATTACAAACTACAGGGATTTCTAAGAGAACAATCATTTGAACGCTTTTTTAAAAATATAATGGTATCTATATAATTTAATTTATATAACATTTAAAATATATATGCATTACCTTTTAAAAATGAAATTATTTTGATTCAATTATTTTACGCGTGACTAATGCCAAATTTTATCACTAGTCTCGAATTTTGCGTGCCTCGAATAAAGAAAGTTAGTTGGTTAATTAAAACGCACAATTAGAAAATACTCAGAATGATCAAAGTCTGCGATTAATAAATCGATAAAGCGATGTATCTCCTTTTTTTAACGTGCTACGTATATTTTTTCTACGAATGCCTTCGTAATCAAGGGTTAAATCGAAAGCAATATTATTGAACTGCCGATATTTGTACACTTGCTTTTACGAAAATTTGTTTTTACATGTATATAATATATATTATTGTTAGCTATACTGATATGTTGTAATAGAGAAAAGAGAATAAGCAGCAATGGAAATGCAAAATTATTAGATCTGTATTTATATTTATCACGTTGTGAATAAAACATGTTTTTAATATTTGTTGTTCTACCTTATTACACACCTTACACTGAATACTAATGATTGTATATGTATTTATACATTTTTATTTCTACAGAGTATATTTTTAGAGTATTTATGATTACCGTCCATCTAATAATATGACATTTTTACAATATTTAAGATAAGAATTTTGCAAAACGATGAAAAACATTTCTGTACTTATTATTAATGAATAAAGAAGAATACTACATTAGTTTAATTAAATTCCATGTGTTTCATTGATATGGATGATTATCAAATTTGAATTGGCTATATGAAAAACGAGCTTAGCAAGAATAATCTCTCTCAAATTTTGCAAATCCCTTTGTGTTTTAAAGATTTATAATATGTATACTATCGTAGATATTTTCGTGTCGTTCCTGTTACCGATTTAGCGTTGAATAAGATTACAATATTAGTAGTGGTTGGAATTAGAATCAAACGTAACTATGAAATTACAAATAAGAAAGTAACATAATTGTTTATTAGAAGATGATTCGACATATGCGCGAGTTTTACTACTGTCAAAAGATCGTGAACAGTTCTATCCACGCAACGTAACATATTTAGTCGTGCTTACTACGAAGAATAACTCGTCGAAGAATTTTTCAATACAGAAATGAGTAAGACAAGGAAAGAAATACGAGTAGATACGGATAGCACTTGAGAAACGAGATAGACAAAGAAAGGAATAAGGGTAGACAAGGATAGCACTAATGTAATGGGTAAGACAAGGAAAGGAATAGGGGTAGACAAGGAAAGCACTAAAGAAATGAGTTAAACAAGGATAGATATAGAGATAGACAAGGACAGAAAATTTACAGTTCTGAACTAACGCCATCTCGCGTTTGGATCCGCGAACTAACGACTCGTTACTCGGATAACAGAATATAAACAATAACATAATTGTTTATTAGAAGATGATTCGACATATGCGCGAGTTTTACTACTGTAAAAAGATCGTGAACAGTTCTATCCACGCAACGTAACATATTTAGTCGTGCTTACTACGAAGAATAACTCGTCGAAGAATTTTTCAATACAGAAATGAGTAAGACAAGGAAAGAAATACGAGTAGATACGGATAGCACTTGAGAAACGAGATAGACAAAGAAAGGAATAAGGGTAGACAAGGATAGCACTAATGTAATGGGTAAGACAAGGAAAGGAATAGGGGTAGACAAGGAAAGCACTAAAGAAATGAGTTAAACAAGGATAGATATAGAGATAGACAAGGACAGAGAATTTACAGTTCTGAACTAACGCCATCTCGTGTTTGGATCCGCGAATTAACGACTCGTTACTCGGATAACAGAATATAAACAGAGGTATTAGACAAGGAAAACACTAGTGTGCGACAAGGACAGAGAGAGAACGTTTCCTATTGGCTGGCGGGCCGCCATGCTCCAACTCCCAGGCCCCAAGTTAAGTCGGTCGGTGAAAAATCATTAATAACTCAATAATTGTGATGATTTTGTGAACTTTTAGAATTGAAGAATGAAGTGTGGACCTTCAGCAACTTTCACATATAGTTTTTAGTGCTCTAACTTCTTTCAATAATTAGTTATTAACAATTTTGGTACCGAATCTTGGGAACGATACCGCACGCAGTCAAATATCTTTATAGTTTTTCAGTAATTTCATGTCTTTCTACTGAATTCTCGTGCAACTAGCTATACGTATCTGAAAGGCAACTTCTTTATCTACATTCTTACATTATTTTTATTAATACATTCGGTTTAGTTCAAGAGTTATTAAAATTTATGTGGGAGAGTCCCCTACTCATCGTACTAGAGTATAGTCAACTGTTATAAACAATTGCTAATATCTACTAAATCACATGTCTTTCTACTAAATTCTCGTGCAACTAGCTATACGTTTCTGAAAGGCAACTCCTTTATCTACATTCTTACATTATTTTTATTAATACATTCGGTTTAGTTCAAGAGTTATTAAAATTTATGTGGGAGAGTCTCCTACTCATCGTACTAGAGTATAGTCAACTGTTATAAACAATTGCTAATATCTACTAAATCACACCAATTATGACTACCAAACTAATTGCAGAGTATAGATAAAAGTCCATTCTGCATTCTGCATGTTTCAAAGTGCATAATTTGTTAGGCATTTCTATTGAAATAACGAAAATGTGTAACGCTTGAATACGGCGGGTGTAATACTTTTACGGTTTTTTAATAATTTCATAGCTTTTGACTAAATTCTCATGAAAGTAACTCCATGCATTTTAAAGGTAACTCCTTTAGCTATATTCTCATATAATTTCTGTGAACGTATCCTTCGTGGTTTGATAGTTATTTAACATTCTTTGGGTGAGTATTACGGGCGTCGCATTCAAGCGTAACACATTTTCGTTATTTCAATGGAAATGCGTGAACAATTGTGTATTTTTAAGCACGAAGAATGTAGAATGGACTTTTATCTATATTCTGCAATTAGTTTGGTAGTCATAATTGGTGTGGTTTAGTAGATATTAGCAACTGTTTATAAAAGTTGGCTATACTGGAGTACGATGAACAGGGAACTCTCTCACATAATGTTTAATAACTCATAAACTAAATCGAATATATTAATAAATGTTATATGAGAATGTAGCTAAAGGAGTTGCTTTTCAGACGCATATAGCTATTTGCATGGGAATTTAGGAGAAAGCTATGATATTTTTGATAAACCGTAAAGGTATGCGGTATCGTTTCCGACATCCCGTACTAAAATTGTTAATAACTAATTATTGAAAGAAGTTAGGGCACTAACAACTACATGTGAAAGTTGCTGAAGGTCCGCACTTTATTCTTCAATTCTAAAAGTTCACAAAATCATCGTAATTATTGAGTTATTAAATATTACTTGGCTCAGTACTCCATTCGTCGCATTCAAACGTAACGGATTTCTATCATTACCGTGAATATGCATGATTAATTTTGTACTTTCAAGCATGTAGAATGTAGTATAGACCTTTGCTTACATTCTGCAGTAAATTTTAAGTGTGTGTGTAATGTAGTTTAATAAATATTAGCAATTGTTTATAGCAGTTGACTATACGCGAGTACGGTGGATAGGAGACTCTCCCATAAAACTTTTAATAACTGTTAAACCAAACCGAATATATTAATAAAAATTATATGATAATGTAGCTAAAGGAGTTGCCTTTCAGATACGTATAGCTAGTTGCACGAGAATTCAGTAGAAAGACATGAAATTACTGAAAAACTATAAAGATATTTGACTGCGTGCGGTATCGTTCCCAAGATTCGGTACCAAAATTGTTAATAACTAATTATTGAAAGAAGTTAGAGCACTAAAAACTATATGTGAAAGTTGCTGAAGGTCCACACTTCATCCTTCAATTCTAAAAGTTCACAAAATCAATGTAATTATTGAGTTATTAAATATAACTTGGCTGAGTACTCCACTCGTCGCATTCAAACGTTACGGATTTCTGTCATTTTCATGAATATGCACAATTAATTTTGTACTTTCAAGCATGTAGAATATAGTATAGACCTTTGTCTACATTCTGCAATAAATTTTAAGTGTGTGTGTAATGTAGTTTAATCAATATAAGCAATTATTTATAGCAGTTGACTATACGCGAGTACGGTGGATAGGAGACTCTCCCATAAAACTTTTAATAACTGTTGAACTAAACCGAATATATTAATAAAAATTATATGAGAATGTAGCTAAAGGAGTTGCCTTTCAGATACGTATAGCTAGTTGCACGAGAATTTAGTAGAAAGCTGTGAAATTACTGAAAAACCATAAAGATACTTGACGGTATGCGGTATCGTTCCCGACAACTCGCACAACAATTATTAATAACTAATTATTGGAAGGGCCTAGAGCACTAAAAGCTATATGTGAAAGTTGCTGAAGGTCCACGCTTCATTCTTCAATTCTAAAAGTTCACAAAATCATCACAATTATTGAGTTATTAATGATTTTTCACCGACCGACTTAACTTGGGGCCTGGGAGTTGGAGCATGGCGGCCCGCCAGCCAATAGGAAACGTTCTCTCTCTGTCCTTGTCGCACACTAGTGTCCTTGTCTACCCCTATTCCTTTCCTTGTCTGACCCATTACACTAGTGCTATCCTTGTCTACCCATATTCCTTTCCTTGTCTAACCCATTACACTAGTGCTATCCTTGTCTACCCATATTCCTTTCCTTGTCTAACCCATTAC